TATAGTGAGCTCATTGGCCTGTTTCAGGAGCAGATCAAAAGGGATATTCCTGTCATAAAAATGATCAGACTGGATTAGAAGGTATGTTTTTATCCCCGCAGTCCTTGTAGTGAAATTTCAGTCTACTCTTAAACCTAGGTCAAAGGTGGACTGTAGACATTGTACGTTCTTTCTTGAGGATTTACTCAGCCATTTGGGAAGTGAAAGCGCTTCTTGAATGATCCAACAAGTGCTTCCCCTTGTCGCTTGCGATAGAAACATTTTACCTTAAGTTTATTGCGCTGATCACTGTGCTTTAATTTGAAGAGTTTTCTTTGATGTGGGGAATACTTTAGTGGTAGTGATACTAAGTTTCGACGGGCATGTAAGATATAGACTTCAGCGCAATAGAGCAGAGAACTGCAGCAGCTGAGTTGCAAACTTGAGAACAATGAAGTCACCGTGGACGAGTGCGCGTATCGACGAGTTTCTCAATGCGGTTACACCTAAGTTTTTTAGAAAGCGAGCCGTATCCCTCGGTGGGAACTTATTAGGCATTGTTGAATGGGGAAAGATTCATAGAAAAAACATCTGTGATTGCGTGCCAGAAGGTGAACAAGAACAACCAAGTCATGGTTGCTATGGTATGAAGAGTTTGATTTAAGTGGTGATATTGGGAACAACACATGACAATACATGTGCATGCTTGCCATCAGAGAATCGTGAGGAGCAGTAGTGAAGCTCCAGAGAAATTCCGAATGGTAACATGAATGTTCTATACGCACGCTTCCAGCATATTTAATATTTCCGACACGAGGGTAGCGAACGACGTCGTTTTTCAACGCAAACGCGTATAATGGGGGTCACTTTAATCGAGGTAAAGATTTTTTAAAGCATCCATACTGACCATATCCTAGTGTATGGTGTTCCCGGGACGGTTCTTTATCCTCCAACTCTGAATCGCATCAAAGACAACTGTCGAAAAACTTGGGTTGATCGAATGTACCAGAGGATCGATAATGTTGACAACCGCCAAATTTGAAGATGCAAACGTGCCATAGATTTACAGAAATGTTCTGGTTAGCTTTGGTCTACTCAACTTTCCTCTTTTGTCTCACGCAAGTTGAAAGTTTGCATGGGAAAACGCTGATCCCAGTTGCTCAAATATTGACCTTGATAGCGTTTCTGGTAAGCTGTTCATTTTAACTAAAAATACTCAAACACCCCATTGTCTAGCTGTGGCGTATTAGTCGTAGCTACGGTATGGAAACCAGTCATGTATCGTACATTTGTGAAGCCTCGTTCAGTTATTTTGTTAGTAGGCGTTAAATTTTCTCATTAGGTGAGGTGAATGAGTCTGTGGATCATTTACGACAGTTTGATCAATGATGCCGCATGATCACGTGACCGGTCAGAGAAAGCAACAGTTGCGATTCGGTACCGCTGAATACAACGCATTGATTGGTCCAATGAATCTGCTTGAGGTCAGGAGAACGATATATATCCTGACCTGGGATCATGTGTTGTAATGTGAAGTCGGGCAATGTGTGAGAAGAACGCGAAGTCCGGAGCCCGTGCAACTATGCATACCGATTCTGAAACCACTCGGAACATGTGTTCGGATCCTGAAACAGTGCCAGATAGCAAACAACGGACAGCTAAAAGGAGAAAATTTTCGACATCAGTGGAGGAGTGTATGCGCATGCGTCGGGTGAGTTGATTATGTAATACTATACTCTGAAAATGACTTCCCTTGTACATAAATTACATGTGATACTGTCGAAGTGAGTGTCCTGTAGTTGGTGAAGCGATGGTGAAGCTGAGAGATAATCGCAATGTCATTAGATCTTTTAACCCCTAGGTTTTTGAATATCCATGAAGCTGTATTGTGCCTTACTTACCCCCATAAATAGTTATATAACCATAATGTGCAAATGTATAACATTCAGCACAAGGAGTTGTACCTTTACACATTGTACAACTTTCTTTAAGGGGGTTGATCAAACCAATGATAGTACCGACATACTCATCATCAGTTCTTGGTGTAAAAATGTTGTATATGGCAACCGTCTCAACATTACCTCTAGTTTAATGGGCGAATGTGAAGTTTCCCAAGATATAAGTAAGAAAACTTGGAATTATTTGTACTCAAGAGGTGCTTTTCTTTGGTGAGGGCAGCTTTTGATACACGTCTGTCGGGGTTAAGTAGCCTGACGACTGACGAATCATCCGTGACGCACCGCCCCACTTGAATAAGCGGAGATCAGTTGGTTCCGATGTTGTCTGAAAGCGAAATTAACTTTGACTTATCGTACAGTTCTTATGGGGCACGACGGCGGGGCGAATGAAGGAATTCATGTCCCCAATATGATTTCCAGACAGGTATTCAATAAACCCGTTGATCGAATCCGCGACGTTGTTTTTTGGGTAACGTGGCTAGGCCCCCACCTGCGATCATTACAGGCAACATAAAATAAATGGGGATCAACACCAGTCCTATTAGTTTATCAATAGGATGTCATCTTTGCAGTCTCTAGTGCTTCTTTTCTCCTATTCTTATTGTGTACAACGTGACTCCCCGTTTTGATTTTCCCGTTTTTGTGCCTATATCGCCTTTCTTATTTTGACCTGAACGTAAACCGTTCTTTGACATTGTCATTGCACGTTTTGTTTAAGCCAACACGTGGTTCTCGTGATCTCGTGGCCACCTTGCCTTCGGTAGGTGTGAACTTTGGGATCTTGTTTGAAATTAGCAGTTCCTAAACCGGTGAAGAAGCCGGCGTCATCCCACGACTTGGGATTTGTACAATTTTATTAGTTTATTGTTGTATTCATCATACTGCGTTTGTTGGTAAACATCCATATGAACTTATTGACTTTTTGGGTTTTGTGAGTGATCCAACTGAATGCTGGAAACGATCGATAACCTTATCATTTGTATATCCGTCGGCTGGCTTGCATGCAATCATTTTTAACCATTCTTTTGACTGTATTGGCATTAGGTAGTTTGTATAAATACCCCTACCCTGCAAGTAGTCGTACATCGGGGGTTCTTAGATTTTCTACCACGAGTTATCACATGGCCATCTGGGCCTCGACACACCTGCTCCGATCAGAAGAAAAATTTACACCTCTTATGTTATAGGCCGAACCATCGGAGGCAATGAATTTTTATTTCCACGCGAAATGCAATCGTGATGCAATCTAATTTTTGCCTACCCCTCACCGACCATAAATGATTCATCATTTGGTAAAATATGCCCCACTGAAACCGATAAACGCCGTAGCAATTGTTTTTCGGCTTCTGATACATCCGGGGGACGGTGCTCACACATCTCAGTGTTAGGGAGTGGTCCTCCCATCCTTCATGACCTTCGTAAACACAACCGATTTCACGTACATACGCTCTGCCTTGTCGGGGGGTTCATGTTATTGAACCTGTAACACAATCCACCATAGACCATATTTTCACCAATGAGGTGACAATCGGAGACGTCAAGAAGTTGCCTCATCTCAGCCGAAGTAATCAATTGGCGTTTGTATTCATCTCTGCGTGCTACGCATGGTACACGGGTGGCCAAATACCTAAATTAGTGAGAATCCGATTAGGAGCAAGTGAAATGTCTTGTGTGCTCAATGTTAACCATGTCAATGAGAACTGTCCATATAGTGCATGAATTCCATGCATGCATACCATTCATTGATCCTGTGAATATCGCTTACCGAGCCCATAGAGTGGCTCAGTCATGCCTCGGGTTACTTGCAGAATCAAAAGCGGTTAAAAAACTAGCAAATGCATGGTGGGATTTCATCGGCACCACATCTGTATGAATACCTTTTTTCAATCATTGTATCTGTCTTATGTCTTACGTCAGGCGAATCTGGCTGCAAGGTTCAGGTTTTGGAAAATTTAAAGTAAAAAACAACGCATTGGAATAAGGTGTTATAATCCGAAATTTTGGTTCCCATGGGCAACGCTTTTGAAGTAGTTACAAAGTCAATAACTAGTAAAAATACCTTCATTCCTAGCTCTACATTCACCACACCTTTGCCTCAAGTCTCGCGTTGTTCGATGACTCACGACCAAAGCATTAGAAACTTCCGTAATCAACTTCATCCACTCGTTCTCAGCTGATCCAGGAATTTTCAGAACTCATTTCAGTAGTTCCCAACACCTAATTGATAAGTGGAAATGTCATCAATATAGAAACAGTGCGTTATTACTTCAATTTACGGAGAAGGTGCTCGTTTGACCGTCTTCATATATGGGCCCGTAACCCTCATTTTGATTTTGTCTGAGGCGATGAAGATCGTTGCGTCTGATAGCCGAATGGCTTTGCCCCGAACGAGGGGGGACCTTTTGTTTTGAAACCATCACGGGCTTCGATTGAATCACTCATGCATAATCTATCCTTGTCAGACTAGAAGTGGCCTAGCCGTGAAGGCGGACAAGAACATGGTGATGAATCGATTCGCCTAAAATTCACAAAATTCAAAGCTGCCTAAAACCGTCCAATATTTTATCACAAATAAGCTTGGATACTCCCACGCCCACCATTTTACCTCTCTTATTCAAAAGTTGGCTTGTGGATGTTATCAACCTTGCCTAAAACGTTTTTGTGAGCTTCGATCGCGTGGCATTTAAATTAGGAAGTATGGAAAGACGCCTGTGAAAAGTAAGAAGTTAGTCCATAAATCTGGATCCGTTTCATCGTGGTTTGTACTTGTTTTGCTTCACTGCTCTCAAGCTCCAACTGTCTATTGTGCCATTCTCCACACAGCTTAGAAAGAAGAACATTGAGCGTCGCCGACGTGCCTCAATCGCTGACAGAATGATGGATATCTATCGGCTAGCGATGGAAATATTCAACAAGGCAAGTCGTTCAGTCTTATGGGACTGAAAATTTGGATGTTTGGCCCTACTGTATTTCTCTAGCGGTAATTTCAACAGTGGTAGCTATCTCACCATCGATTCGGCCTTCACATTGACTTCTGTTTTGTAGGTTCCAACTTCTGCGAAAATGGACAGGACGGAGATCCTGGATCATTGCTGCAACACATTCGAACATGTTGCAGTGGTGTTGAAAGACCGACCAGGTAAGCCGGTATTGCAGAGCTGAAAGTGTTCCAGGCAAGATATTAGGGAATAGACAATTATACTCCGTCTATGTAGGCTAATTTTCCTGGGCTTCTATCGCAGTGACAGGATCTTTATTCCCTCTTTGATGGAGTAACCCACGACATGACGCAGCCATCACACACGGTGCATAAAGGAAGGTTAAAACGATTGCATTTGGCATGTTTCACATGACAGAACGAGCGATCAAACCATACTTCGCCAAAATAATCAGTAAGCCAGGGGATTCAATGTCAACAGAAGTAAATGACCAATCACTTCGCTGATCTGAGTGATGTTGATGAATGAAAAATTGGTAGGCGCAACATGCTACTCATGTGCGTACTGAAAATGATTCCACCGAGGTTTTATTTTTATGCCCTCCTCATATCCCATTACCCATATCGCCATTGGGAAAATCGTAGAATGATGCACATCAGTGGGGCGTAAATCTGCTTGCGATGCAGCCCCTACTTTTTGTGGGTTCACAAACGACTTCAACGTGTTCTTAAAGACTTCACAAAGGATTGACGATAACACAGTACTCAGGGCCTTATTGAAGAGGAAAAACCAGGGGTGGGTTTCCTCAAGCTGCGCTACTTCACCTTGTAAGCGAACCAATAAAAGCTCCTCTAGTCGTTGGAACCAAGAGCAGTTTACAGATGCACACGGGTAAATTGACTTTATTAAAAATAATTTAGAAATTTCCCTCAGATGAAACACAAATTTGGGAATTTTCCATCCATCTGGAGTGAAGATCAATCCACGGGTCTCATCGGCTTTGTTGGTTTTTCACCTCAACCGTTTTCAAGTTGACCATTCTAAGTAACCTCTTGGTTTATTGTGCCATTCAATTGATATCTGTGTACCGATTCAGCCTAACAACATTTATTCAGCTGGAATATACGACACAGCGTACTCTAACCGGCTCCCATAACCAACACATTCAATATGGCCCTTTCGTGAGTTAGCAGATTGTTCCGTGGACTTTGGGAACTGTTGCGATTAACCTTAACGTTCATTCTGATTTTCTATCTAAACTTATCTATATTTTTTTCGACTATGAATGGTGTACAGATGTAAGTCGGTTTTGGTAACCATACTAGTTAGGGCCGACAGTACAGGATGAACAACGTGAACGCAGACTGCAGCAGGTTTAGGTAGCCATTGAACCCAAAGAAGCCATTGGCTTCTGAGTATCACCATATCGGTGAGAATATCTAGCCATCGACAGAGTCACTATTAAGAATCAGCTTGGTCTACATTGGTAGGATCCGAGGAATGGCGTTTCGAATTTGATGCATAACAGTAAAGATCCGATGCTTAAACTTTGGATTCTCCATCCTCATCACATTCGAGGTTAGTCCATGCCAGGTTGCCTGGACACTGAAACTTCTATGAGCGTATTCATTTTGGTGACACAGTCACAAGGACCGTACACGAAATTCTGCGTATCCAGTCTTTATTTGAAAGATAAATTGAACTCGGGGCAACTTTCGCAGATTCAGCGGCGGTAACCAATAGACTAATGTGCACACATAAATGTACACTGTAGAAGAGACACTGTTTCGCCTGTCTTGATGTTACAGTCGATTGTGTTTAATCCCGAGTGAGTTTCTCGTAACCAAGGTCAATTGTAGCTATTGATTGTCGATATTATTGGATGAGAGAGAAAAGATCTGAAGATTACTATGCCAAATGGCCCCAGATGTATCTCAAGACAGCAACTATTCTTAAATATATCAGTGTTTCGTTCATTTTGTCCCGCTATTAGATTCGGTTTTAAGCTATCAGGTCACATATGATGCATTAATACGCCCACTGGGGAGTCCAAACCCCCAAAACGTGCGCAATGGTGCTTCCATCATGCACGATTTGGTGTGAGTTCCGACAAACAATCATCTCCGGGGGAGACCAAGTATTTTCCCACATGCTGCTCTTGGGAACTCACTGTAAGTAAACAACGAAAAATATGGATTTGGTGGAGGGGTATCAGCTTATAAATATCCGGCTGATGACTACTCACAACAAGTCTAACATCCTGTTGTCAGGACTGTGAAAGCATATCAACTACGATGAACGCTTTCTTCACTGGTTACGACTCCTTTAGCGAATTCCATGATGGCGTACACCCGGTTTTCTCAGCAACCAAAAGTCTAAATTTGAGTTTTGGTTAAGCTTTTGTTGATCGGTTTCCAACCCAATGGGTCACGATGCAATCATAAAGGTTTTAGGGAAAACCACTGTGAGCAGCGAAGCTTCATTATAAGGTTTATCTGACAAGGAATACCGACTGCAATGCCACGACTGGACATATTGAAACGCTGAATGTGTCAAACGGATCCCCTTCAATAGCGCAAGACCACAACCATCGAACAAGTTTAGTTGACGTCGTTTTGTTTGAATACCATTAAGAATTATGACCCACAGATCCAGTCCTTTAATTGGGAACGTAGAAGCATAGTGCGTGGCTCACAATCACCCACTACCAAGCCTCGTTCTACCACCCTCTTGCATCTTTTCACTTAAGGCTTTCAAAGCTGCCGATCACCATTGAGTTAAATACAGTCATGGCTTGAAAAGACAAACGGCGCATTGGCCAATACTCGAGGTCACGATGTCTCCCACCGTACCAACCTTTTAACAATGAGAATGCATCACTTTCTAATTTTACAGTTCTCCCTACCGCCAATAAGAGCTTTCTATTGAAGAAGATCTATTATGCATCAGGTTGCTTCGCCTACACCTTCCTTCTCGACTGTTTTATCGGAAATGGGCAACTAAAAACTGGCATACATGATAACGTCCACCATTTTGTAGTCTGTTCTCTCAAGTCACATACATTAAACCATATGATAAACTCACAACCTCCATCAATGCTCTGCTTACGTTCTCCTTTCTTTACCACTAGATATCATACTCAAACTCAAAAAGATGTGTAAAACCCTTAGAGCCGGAGGATTTCGTGCGTCACGTTGTACGTCCACGACAAAGCCGGAAGGTACTTCTCCCGGAATTCCAAACGGTTTGCATCGATCAGGTAGTAGTGCTTTCTCACCGGTCATTCCGACGAAAACTGTGAAGCGATCTAATCTCGTGCATTCTACCCCTGTCGCTATTGGAAGGAATTCATTCTACCCTGACGGAAAGGAATCACCTCAGCTGATCGCCAACCACAATTACGTTAATCCAACCACAACCATGCCAGTAAATCATTCTTCTTCGGTGATCAGTTCAGACTATTGTACACAGTACATAGAACCGATAAATGCTTATCCGCGCTCAACTTACACCCAATCCATCAGCAAAACAGATTCGGGATTGGATGCTACTTTCTTGTCAGAATCATCGAGAAACAGAAGTAGCGCATCTTCGGTCCCGGTCACGTTTCTTTCATCCCAAGAAACAATATGGAAACCGTATATTTAGACCAGCAAACTTCTTCCCTTGTGTTAATAACTCTGCATCATCCCCACCAATTCCGGGATACGTTATCCCTAGGCTTTTCAGTTATGCATTTCTTTTATGGAGTTTACTGCACTCACATGCCTTAAACCATAATTTGTTGTTGGCCTATCAAATAAAAGTTGGCTGAACTAAAGCTGACACTGTCTGTGGTATTAATATGGTACTATGGGCTAAACTTTGTTGCATTCGACTTCTTAGTGTGTCATGGTGGGTATCAGACAATAAGATAGCTTGCCTGCATTGTAAATCAACATAACAAGTTGTTCAATAAAGCTTTAGTTGAGCGATGTCTTCGAGATGACGAGCGATTTAACAGCAATAACTGAGGCACGCTAGTAACCCTAAAGAGAGCACAAGAATAATTACATCCGCTCAGGAGGAAGACAGCTCACATGGGAGCGATGTGAATGTGAACACAACATATCGCGCAGCCACCCACGCCAAAAGAAAATTCATGGACGTAAACTTAATGGTCTGACCCCGAAATTTAGTGCACCATACGTTTTTCATCTGTTTACTTGAACTTTTTGTGGTCTGGCAAGCTTTCGGTAAAAGCTGTGACCAGCACTAGGCATTCCAAAAGCTTGGATCTGGTGTGTTTGCTGACTTGTCGGTGAGTTTGCTCACAATCAGAATCTTTCGGTATGCTACAGTGATAATCTTCTATGTGGTTCCCATCTCATCTAGGGGCTTCACCGTCCTGAACGAAGTTCCGAACGAATAATGGTCTAATCGCGCAGAGTTAACGGGAGAGTCCTGACACGATTATTGTAGGTGTTACTGTTTTCCGGTTCGGTCGTTTTTGGTTGCTACGATTGTGGCAGCCGAAGGATTCACGTGACTTCAACTTAGGGGTCGACGTTGACCTGTGTTCACACTGTTTGACCCGGTCACGTAGCTGTTGCTCGACCTGGAGGTTACGGCAGGCGATCACCACCGCCACCGAGCGTACACGAATTTGTCAGCCACACTAACTGAAAGCCGGATAATTAGCCAGGAAAATGGACAACACACGGTGCGACAGCCATAAATGACATCAGGTGTTTAGATGTTAAACTATCGGCAATGAATGAAGCGTTTCAGCCCCACTGACATCGCACTACGGGAAATTGGTATTTTTCACATCATCCAGAATAAGCACTCCTAAGAATCAGGTGACTGTAGTGGTCCAGGCTTCGCACTTCACTCAGGGGGAACACTGTACCTGCTGTTACATGGAATTCTCTCCAAAACCAGATAGCGGACGATTCATATAGAGAAACATAATGTAGTGCAGCATGCTGAATAAATAGGATTAAATGAACCTGACAGCGTCATGGTCGTATAACCACACTTGCCCTGTTTAGCCACACTTGGTCTACGATATCAGCCTGAAGGAACAAATATCAACAGTGTTATATTACACCTCTTTATGCCTTCGATCTCGGCACAGAATATTTTGCAGGTCCTCATGTTCATCCATCATTAGGACTATTCATATGACTTACTTCTTCGACATAATTAATGCGTTTGGGTGTTACCTTGACGCGCTAAAGTAGAGGATTTCCAAACTATAGCCCACAAGTCGGATACACAGAAAACTTCGTCAAACTACATTTTTCACACGGACAAATTTTGGCATCCGTGGGTTAAATGGTGAGGAATCAGGTCCAGCGTGGCCTACGATTCGGTTGAAAATAAAGAATTACCTGGCATCACGTCAGCAGATATCCCACATCAGAAAAACATTTCGGTTTCCATTGAACCCCTAAATGGCTTTTCGAAAATTCCACCTGGCACAGCCAGTTGAAAAATTTCATCGAACAGATGGATGTCGATTAATGTCATTCGTCTCGTCATTAACCGGTAAAAGTCTGGCAAAATTCCTTTATTGTTTCCCGAACTGCGAAGAGAAAGTGATTCCACGCAATGCTTTAGGAGGTCAATGACACTACATCTTCGTACATCAGTGCTTGTTTCGCTAACGATTTCGTGAGTTAACTCGAGATAGCTAGCTCTCTTTGTGATCGGTCAATAACGGTTGCTGGAGTTCGGTGGAGACTTCAGCAAATGCTGTTAGGTAGGTTTTGTTTATGAAACCAAGTATATTTTTATCCATTTTTTCAAATGCTGGAGGAGGAACAGTATAGCCGGGGACTTGAGAACCGACTTGTTACAGCCTTAGCTACTGAAAAGCAGTCCACAATGATCACAGCAAACTTTTGAAAGGGGCGGCTCAAATATACTCAATCGGGAGTGGTCGCTATGATGCAGTTTTACGGTATGATTTTGTTCTGATTTGGTCTGAAAAGTCACAGCTAAAAGCTGGATCGAAGTATCGTTTAAAAAGCTCGATATCCTTGTACTGAAATCCCTCTGAATGTGTATGATACGGGAGAAATGAGATCGCTACAAACATCGCGGATTGGTGGTCTGCTTAGCATGTTTGTCGTTTAAGCTGCACTATTTATCACCAACCTCTTGCATCTGTACGCGCTGGTTACGCAAGCCTTTGCAGAGCCAAGCTATTGTGGTTGACTTGAAACCTTTACTGATGCGCATGTCGTTAGCATGTGCAGGTTGTGGTAGGCTGCGCACTCATTTAACTCTAGGCAACTCCATGTTAGATTTTAATGGATTTGGAGGTGAGGTGAGTTAACAGGTGCAAGTGCATTGAGGATTTTGATCTCACAGATAGAAGACAAAATTCACCACGACTGATCAAACATTGATTTTGGGCAGTCTCAGCATATCGTTCAAGAGAGATCCGTTATATCCCACAGATTTATTCGCTAACCTGGGAATTACCAATCGGATAGGACTGACGCCAGCTTCTTCTCTGAAGTGAAAACTCTCTTGAATTAACGAACTAAACTCATTTGCAAATTGCATTGTTGCTAGCGAGAGACTCAAGTGAATTTTTCGTTTTTGAATTTCTTCATTTGCACGTGCTGCACAAAGTATACTTCATGTTTCAGTTGACACGATTCTCGAGGGACCGCCATATATTCTCCTGACGGAGCACACTTCTCATTAGGCCGCTGAAAACTCCTCGCCACTCCGCTACTGGACTGTCTCGATAACAGCAGTCTAACTTGAAAATAAATTCATTTTGTTGTTTTCGAAAGTGTTGAGTTCAACTAGAATATAAGATTAATGGAAACTCGGAAATAACATTCATGTGATGAGGTCCAAGAATAGCAAGCCGGTTGCGTGCTGCCACAGAGCTCCCTCTAGCGCATTTTGTCCAGAATACTTTCATGTTTTTTCTCAAAAGGGTCGCCTCTGCCTGGTGAACATGCGATCAGCTGTAGCTGAGGTTACACTCATTACAATAGTGGTATTTATTCACGGGAGTTATTCACAAGTATTTGGAGTAAAAACCTGAAAATAACAGTAATGACAACCGAGCATCTGATTCAAAAGGTGTATCTGAGTCGAGATACAGTGGCAATTACCAAAACGATGCAATCGTCCAGCTCTAACACCTTATAGGTGTCCAGCTTTTATGCCACGCGTGAACGGAAGAAGGCCTTCGCTGCGGAGTCATTTATTAGAAAATACCAACTGAACAGTCACAGACTAGTGGACTGGGAAGCAAAACTCTCATATGTGACTTGTTTACCAAAACTGAATATCCATCTTGTCCTTGAACGCGTCTTCCTGAATTTTTCTAGATATTCATAGACTGTTGCTCAAATCCAAGCAAGTGCTACAAAGCGACTCCATAAATTTCGTAAACATCCAACTTTTCAAGAGACGCAAAGCGGGAAAACATACTACTCGCATGCCACTCTCATCAGTAGTATCACCGTTACGCACGTAAAAGGCATGATAGCTGAAATAATGCCAGGCTGGCTAACCCTAAATAGGTGCAGTCGAGAGGCTGACGATGGATATTAACCAATGACCTGCCGGTCAGTAAGTTCCTAATTTAACTACTGAGCTTTTCGAGCTCAGAGAACGTGGTACTCAGTACTGGATAAGTGACTATATTGCCCATAAGCACATAGGTTATGCTTACTTACAAGACCCCCAGCTTACATCAGTCAAAAATCTGGGTGGAAAAACACCACAGTTAGGTACGAACGACAAAGGAAGCTGGCATCAGGTGAAGTCCAGTTTGGTAAGAGGGTGTTGCAATAATCGAACGTCACAAGCCAGTGCAGAATAGCACTGCGTAGTATAACTGGACAAAGGCTGTATGAAAAGTAGGAAGGAACGTAGGAAGTCATACGACAATACAACCATTTGGACAAAACCCAGCATTTACTCTCTCCTCAAACGTAGCTAACCATGGCTTCGCATACCGTAGAGACTGATTATACGTGAAAAAGATACTGCCTGCGGAAATCGTACCAATTTCGATTAAGTAGACGAACTTGCGACAAAAACCGAAAAGATGCAATAGTCGAAGTCGATGATGCACACCTATACAGTCAAATTTTCTGAGGTATTTTAACAGTCTTACCTTAAAATGGCAAAAAAACTTGCAAAGGAATTTCTTGAACAAAATCATCATCTGTGCGGGTTGAACGGTTGTTTTTCCTTATTTGATAAGTGAACAAATATATCAGGAATGCACTCCTCTTCTTGAATAGAGTCACGTATATTTTTGTGGAAACATGTAAAAATAAGCGGAAAAAATCTAGATAGGGCTCGGGAAGACCATGCCTCTAGTTTTCTTCAACTGCCTGTCCAATTTAGGCTCTAAAAATAATCTCGAATGTGTCTGCTGGGCTCATTTTTTGTGCACGCGTAACTGCTACGATGATCACGATAATTGTTTGTTTGCTTCTTGCCTCCCCCCACTCATTTCAAATGCAATTATGTCATTGACTTGAATCGAACTCCAGCGACTCAGTCAAGGCCACTTTAGCATGCTGGTTCATCAACCGTTAACAACAATAGAGAAATTGCCCGAACGAATGTAGTCATAAGGCCGGGGCTCAAAGGAACGATATATTTTATTACTTAGCTCTCTCACAAATCCTCCCTTCCTTGTGCTAGAACTGGAGTAGGAAATTGATCAAGAGCGTTTCCGGCTGATTTCATTCACATATGCGGGTGTTTTATACGGGATCTTCTAGGACAATCGTGATCGCTATTTGCTCAAAACAGACTAACCCAAAAAAAACTGGCTGGTGATCTTCCATACGATTGTTTCTTAATGTTATCAATCAGATGCATGTATGTAGTGAAATGTTTATATTTTTTTTTGCTGGTCAGCGTATGAAGAGTACGTTTGTCCCGATAAACTTTCATTAGATTCAGCAAGTTGATCTTCCCTAACATAATTTGTGCTAAAGGAGTAACCCATCCCTCCGTATTGTTCGCCGGTCTGTGAACATGCACTATACAGTGTGACTGATAAACACCCATTAAACCCCAAGCAGAAGGAACCTCTGTGGTGACCCTAGATATTTGGAATACCGGTGATTAGTGCATATCAAAGCATTTTTATGTTTGTGAAGATATGGTAGCAGCGAAGCTTATGGAAATACGACTGGGCATTTTCAGTCTCTGTTCTGATTACTGGATCATCAGTGAACACTCGACTGTAATTCAAACTGTATAGTTTATTTTACTTGACCCCCATATCCAGATAATGGTATATTTGTGAGGCATGTCAACACTGTCACAGAACAGTTTGCCAAATCCGCTGTGCAACGCGTTCTCAAGAACATACTGGACTGTAGTTGGAATCACATCGTACTGAAAACGAGTGCTCATATGTGGCGTTAACTGTAGCAAAAAGCATGACCGGTAGCTTATAGGTGAAACACTTTCTGCTAATCAAATATAGTCTAGACAGTTATTCATTGATAAGCCTACCCGATAACGGTAGTGGTGGTCCCATGATCTGCTGTCGGTGCTGAAGTCTGTTATCTGCATAAAGGAAACTACTCACAAGGTTTATGAGAGCTCTTCGACCGGTTTCGCCCTTCTTGGGGCTCGTCAGGTAGGTTAAGTCCCGAGTTTCCGCCAACCTTATATTCTACTTGAGCCCCAATTGGGCTGATTTGCAAATGAGTGCATTTGTCCCTGTTATTTGCTATATCCTGCCACTTCTTGCCTGTCCCCTTTCACGCTTCAGCCGATTGCCTGCGTTTGTTCGATGACCAATCAGTGGTCAGTGTCCGCTCCAATTGGCCAAATTGTTCTCTATAATGTACGCGATTATTCTGATTGGCCACATGGTCCCACGCTAGCGAAATTAATGCTAAATATATATCCAAACTGACACGCGTCACCGTGCTCATGCCCAAAGCGTTACGATGGTCACGACTGTCAACGACCTGCGGTCAGCTTACACGTGTTCGGTCCCCTCATGTGTCGGCGTTCCATCCCGTCAATATGTCAGGCAAGATTTACGGACAGACGTGTCACTTGTTCGTATCCCTGGAGTTTTTGCTACTACCATGTCAACCGTTACCTCACCTAGCGCCGATGGACACTCGAGACCACGCAGGGGTAGACGATCCTTGGTTCCTCCAGAGCTGCGGGCGCAGACTCGCCGGGTAAGTTTCCCAAGTCGTTGTGATCTCTATTTTCCGCTCATCAAAGCACCAGTAACCCGGTTTCGGTCAGCATTCCGTACAAATATTGGCTTTCTGTAGTTTCAAGTACGTAGTAGTGCAACAATCGATTTTAGTTGCACCATAATTACAGACTTTCAGTTTACGTAGCATCTGTTTCTCTTCATTCCCAATATAGCTGAAGAAGCAGAATTTGGAACGCCGCCGCCGTGCTTGCATCTCGGACAAAATGAATGCGCTGCATGCTTTGGCACTGGACCTTATTGGACTAAAAGTAAGCCCCATCTATTCTTTCAAATACCAGCATTAGGAAACTCACATGTCCTTAAGGATACTATACCTATGTCGTGTAAAGCATTCGGGGCATTCTATAAGATTATTCCAGAAAATTCCTGACTTGATCCCACAAGGATCTTAATAGCTCAATATACATAGGAAGATAAGTGAATGTTAGGATGCCTAGTGGCATGCGTTGGTTTGACGCTTCGGGTATCGTGTCAGATGCTGAACTCCACTTTAGGCACCCTGACCATTCATCCAGTCGGTCCTGGAATTCTGATCGATACATGTTGTGAAACGCGCTATAGTATATCAACATGAAAAGTGTGCATGCATTGGGAGGGAGGAAGCATTTAGGCGATTTTTTTGTCATTACGTCGCAGTGTTAGAACCTGGCTACTTGGCGTAGCTGATTATAGTAAGCGTTACTTTTGAAACGCCCTCATAAGTGAGCACGTGAACATTCGAACTTTCAGGTGGTTACTTGTGGTTGCATTCTTATCAGTGCGGCACAGATAATTCACCACGCTAGGTAGTGTTCGTACAACCGCAGTCAAGTGGTTGAAACTGCTGCGGAGTTAAGTTCCCCTTTGTCAGATTCCCTTTCATTTGCGTTCCCGTTGACCAGTATTCAAACCTGAACACTGTTGTACGCTTTGTGAGATCTTACGGTTGGGTATTCTGGTATCCACTGCTAACCAGAAAATAAGCTCGACCGTATACATTTAGTGTTTTTAAGAGTAACCCACCCAGGTTATGCCTATCCTCAGAAAATCCAGTTTAGATATTTGAGCTACTAAGCGAGTCTTCTGTCTACGACCATACTTTCCGTTATGCTGATAATAATACTGCGGTTGCTATATACGTAGGTGTTGCACGTATATTTGTAATGTACTACTACTACAAATATACATGTATCGCGAATATATCGTAGCGACTGGAACATGAGGCGGTCTGGTGCAGCACATTCAATTGCCTGAGAACATCATAAACGAGAGATTCAGCTGGGTTCCAGGTGGGTCTCTCGAAAGAACCAAATTAGTTTGCACATGAGTGTATATTCGCTAAAGGTTTTGCACCACTTTAAACTTTTAGGTCCCTTCGCGCCAGAAACCCGAGAAGGCCGACATCCTGAACATATGCTATCGGATTTTCGAAGAAGTTTCCAAATTAGTTACCGAAAATCCTGGTGAGTTTTCTCCTGTTTTGTTATATTTCAAATAGCTGTGCTACAAGCAAGCGAAAGTTAGTCACAACAAAAAGTGTAGGTTAGCAAGGGATCGCTGCCAGTTGGTCTGGCCTAATTAGAAATCGGGATCGTCGGGCGTTGCCCTACGTTGATATTATTCCCTGAATCTTGGGGTCTTCGGTCTTCAGTTCTGAACAAGAAAAAATACAGTACAGACACTAGCAAAACTCAGGTCGTACCAATGAACTTTCTAAAACCAGTTTCCATGTATGGAACATTATCTAGCTGTCCAAAACTTGTCAAGGTTTCAGAGTTGTTCCAAATTCAGTGCTAACTAGCGGTATGTAGTGTTGAACCCGGGTTCGTAACCAGTATTATTTGTTTATTTCATAGTTGGCGCATTCCAATCACAACTCTCATCTCCTCCTCTCACAGAACTCCGATCGCGACTTCAACAAATCGGCTCTTCGTGGCAATCTCCGTCCGTATCCACAAGCCTGTCCTTGGATGAGACTACCCAAAGCAGCGCCACTACCACTGAGTCGATGGGCATACTATCAGACGATGATAGTGCACCATATCTCAGATCAACCAAGTCCATTCGACGTAACATTATTCCATTCGACCAGTCTCCCAGCGAAACACATGGAGCCTACTTCAAATTCCCTATGGCACACCAATTAACCTCTACACCTGTATGCAGCAAAGCCCACTACCACACCAAAGCAAAAAGTTCTTTTAACCATTTTGACAGTGGGATCCAGTGCTCATTCGGGGAAAAGATATCTGTCGATGTTTTAACCCCAGTAGCAGAGGACCAGTTGATAAGCAGCACGAGCCAAACAAACCTTTCTAGAGACGCAAAAAAGCGCGCACTTGAACGCATTCCACTTGCACCACTTGACATGTCAAACAGGAACTCCATCCCAGGCCAAGCGCCCACGAAGGAACCCACTCAACTTTCGGCTTTCAAATTAGTCCACAACCGAAACAAACACGCTCCAGCCGACTCGCTCTGGCGCCCCTACATCTGACATCCGGATCAGAAGAAACAAAATTATCTCCCTTTTGTGGACTACTCAGATTCTATGCATTCCTCCCAGAGTTTATTGCTTACTTCTTTCAGTCACAATAAAACTGCCTTAATTTCCGGCTTCATTTTTTGGCTCCGGCATTGTACATTCCCAGTCACTTCAGTTCACCTAACTAGTCAGTTGATCCAATCCAACTTCGCGACAGATCGGGGTAGATCGAGTGTGCTAGAATGCTTGCGAATGGTCCAGCAGAAAAGTAAATTTCGTCTCAGACTATCAAAGTATGAGTGAGTTTGATGGATGATCTATCCACCGAACAATTTACTACGAACGATCAACTCCTTTGATGGTGGAAAAAAATACTGGGTGCATCTTTTGACGAAGTGGGCCCTCGTTTGTTTAAAGAAAGACTGGCCTACAACACATGGTTTAGTGGGACGTGGGAAGCACAGAAATCCAAATGTGAGATTTCTGGTTGTTGTAGCACCATCCGGATGACAGACAGCGTGGAAGGATGCTCAGGAGAGAAAAACTAAGAGAAGTATATGCTTCTGATGGAGGTCTCTATTCAGAGTATAAACTGTCAATCAGTTAAGTGATGTTAGGGCTTCGCACAAGCTCTGTATATCCGAATGTTCTTTTGCGGTGTCGATACCCGGTCGTTAAATCATCGTTAAATTTGGTTTAGGTACCCGATTTAGGAGACACATTAAGGTGAACTAATGTGAACCAATGAGTCAGTCCCTGCACTGCTGCAGTTCAGTCTTACGTGACACATCCAATATGGCGTAAGTATTTCGATTTTTTATTTCCTGCACTGGAGGGGAGCAGTGTGGTTTTGCCTTAGGGTCGGTCAATAGCTTGCTCATCGGCAGACTCATCTGTGGAGGTCGTATTTTTTACGGGCCCTTTAAAGTGCTCGCATCACGTTTGTGCTTCAACGCGCGGAACACAATGGATAGGGTGTGTGATACGACCGTCGAGAAAAGTCGCACCACGCAAGAACATTATTCTCGACCCACCTACACAGTCAGCTGGGCTGTGGCGACCTACCACAGACATCTGCTTCGGCACCGTCACAGGCGTGGGGAATTTCCTTATATACTTTTTCTTAGCTTCATGATTGATGGCATCAACTCCAGGCTGGCGATTCGTAAAAGAACGTGACGAAATCCAGTCTTCCAGCCAAAAGATTCTATGCAAACTGGCAAGGCCTGTGCAATATTTTGTGTGGTTTCTCAAATATGTATTACAAAATGGCTGAATTCACGTGATACCTGGATGCGAAGTCCGGTAAAGATACCACACATTTACATAGGTATCCATACTGTGTGGTTCTAGACTGAGCTGAATTCGGCAGTCACAAACAATGGATAAAAAAGTTGCCGACATGTGGGAAATTTCATCAAATGACTGCTCGAACGATCTAGGTCCAGTACTCAGGTACAATAGCTCCTCAGTTCAATGTATTCCCGATAAGAATGAACAACACTGATGGTGTTATTCAGTCATGCTTCACAAACTCTTGTCTGGGTAGTAGAAATTCGGGGCATTGAAGATTACCCCGCATTACGTTAGCTCGATTTGGCCGAATGACAGAGAACGAAGAATACACTGTTTCCTTTGTTAACAGTTGTCATCCCATCAAAGTGTGGAATCCAACTGAGCTGAAAGGCTGAAAGCTGAAAAGGTCAAGATATCCTTTAGTCTCATGTTGCAAGTTAAGAACAGCGGTCCCCATAACTTACTCAGCCACATCCTTGATATCCATTCGATAGGGACTGTCTTATAACAAGGAAAGCATTCGGAAACTATAGTGCACTCGCACTGTATGAGGGAGCTTTAGAACCAAGGACCTGTCAAGCGAATCTAGCAGGGTTGTCTTTTTTCGCGTAGCAGTGACCAATATCAATCGCCACTGTCGAGTAGCTACTCAAATTTGATGGTGTTCTAACAACGGCGTGGCGTAATGGTGAATACCTGCTCCCATCCCAAAATTTATTGGTGGAATATTGTACTCAAGGATGGCTCCTAAGTTTATGTCTCTTCAGTCATTGATTATTTATTTGAGTTCTGTTGCTATTCTAAGCACCGTTCAGTCCACTTCCGCAGTTCGTCGTTACCACGAGAAGACACTGGGGATGGGCCTGGTTGTCGCTTTCTAATGTAAACTGGCTGTCAATGTTTCCTAACCACCAATGCAACATCAGCGACCCTTTATCGTGCACTGGAGCAATGCATTTTTGTCAATGAGTGGGTGTAGACAGCCCAGCGGTTTAGGTTGGAACAAGCCCGATTTGGCCTTGCGGCTGGCTATTGGTTCTGTCATGATATTCAGTGAACTTGCTGTTCCACCGAGGAATTTCCTGTCCCTCTTTTCTTAAAAAATACGCACCCGTGAGTAGTGAAACAGTACCGGTCAAAAACCGTACAATATGTTTTATTAAGTTATCCATATTCCGGTGGGTAATGGTATCAGTGCGAATCCGTAGTATGACAACTAATCAAATGCTGCTCATATTTCAGATTGCGTCGAAGCTCAGTTGCCCCCTGAAGCGAGGAAAAATGCATTCGTATTGGCACAAAGTATTGAGGTCTGCGCTAAGGTTAGGCAATCGGAAACCAGCCAAATCATTTTCTCCAACCGCTGTCGTGGTCCGATTCGGGAAAATTGTTCCAGCGTCGACTGTTTGAAGGTGATAATTATTTCTGTAGGCTTTGAACCATGAAATAGTGTCGTGAGCAGCGACAAAAAATTCCCGGACCATGGTTCATAACTCGAACTGGACTCACTCAAACACGATTAGTAACGACGAGTTTTGTTGTTCCTAAACAGTTTGTCCGTAGATCAGAGATGACATGCCACCCCAAAAACGCATTGATGAATGCTATGAGTTATCAAATAGGCGATAAAATAAATTGATCGATTCGTGATAAGCAGAGGAATCGCAAAGATAAGCTTCCCGGCGTGTGAAGAGCGGATAAATTAATGCATGTAATATCCATCCATTTACCTGTGTTTCCCCTCAAAAGAGGCCATCTGTCAGAAACGTTTCGAATAGGTCCCCTGAATTGCCACTCTCCTCTCCCCAGGTCTTTTTTGTTGCTTTCTTTAAACGGTCTCGTAGATCTGATCAAAGTTGGTCTCTTTTAGGTTGTAACTGGTTCGTGAATGGGTTTAATTTTTTGGAAAATGTTTCAAGAGAACAGTTACAAGGTGTCTCTTCTAAAGGGTGCCTCTAGATCGGGGGAGGAACAGTGGTATTTATGTACCATAGATGGAAATACTGTTCTGTAGCTCCAAATCAGTTATGGAATGGTTTGGCAGACAGTGATTTGTATCGGAATCGAGAAAAGCTCGGTGCAACAAATTCCAACTGACACGACTATTAGGTGGATCAACGAATAATGTTTCCACGCTCGACATTATAGGTGTGTCAAGCTACTGAACCGTCACTGCGGAAAAACCCGGTGAATCGAAAAAGGTCCGTGGTGTGTTTCTTCTCTTATCGATAACTGCAGCCAAAAGTCACGAAAAAAAGGCGTCCATCTACCGAGATTAAGAAGTTTGGTTGAGAAATGTGATAGACCAACCGTAACGTGGATATTCTGATGTGATAAAGTTGCAGCAAGCTATCCAGATTATACCGCTAGAAATTCCCCCCCAAAGCTCTGCACAAATAGTCCACGTTTCTCCAGGCTGTACCAGTGGTTCATCGGTGTAGGCAGAGTTTTGGACAGCAAGGACTTTTTGTATATGTGCACCATTTTTGAAAGACTGTAAATTCTAATGTGTTTTAAAAAGTCCACTGAGCGATTTACCTGAACAAAAACCGGTGAGCTATGTGTAGGTTTGGTAGTGTCTCCTAAAAAAGTGTTCAGGTCTAATTTATGCGCAGCTTATTTCGCCCATTATCGTCACACACCTTCCTTGAATGTAGACAGTTTAAAGAGAGGTGGCTGTGAGACGATGCTTCGGGTAGGTTATTGAAACGTGAACAGTATGCTCAGTCTCACAGCTCATATCTGGCTTTCACGTAATAGAGTCGAAATACGGCTATCAGTCGTCGTCTTCAGTGATGGCTGTTTTGGAGTTCAGGCTGGTCAATTTTTTAAATGCCTGCTAAAGACAATCCCTCCAACAAAAGGGAGGGGTCAAATTAGCATCCTATCGCCAGCCACAGTTTGGTATGAGAACTTTCTCATGGTGTAGTTACTATCAAGAAAGATCCAGATACCACACAATTTGATATGTTTAGTGTATTGGGAAAGCCAAAAAGCTAACCTGTCAGCAGATATGAAGCCAAGCCACCGATATCAAGTTATAGAAAGACACGTGACTACAAAAGTTAATCTGATTACAGAGAAAGAAGTGGGTCAGCAGACTCCCAAGTTGTGGCTTGTGTTCATCGCCTGACGAGTATGTTAGGTGACATGGCAAGTTGTGAACTTAGTTCTTTTCCCAAGTGATGATTCTTAGAAGAAATCTCCCTCGGGGAGTTGCTATTGCCATATTCAATGATCCTCACAGACGACTTCATGGTTATCAATCTGTGGACTCACAACTGCATCAGAACAGGGGTCCGGTGCAGGAATGATCAGTACACGGAGGTAGTTCAAACTGGTGGAATCACGAAAGCAAATCGGTTA